TATGTTTAGGATCATTAGCTCTTCTTGTATCGATCCTTTTACCATTATGTAATGTCCTTCTTTGTCTCTTTTGATCTTTGTTGCTTTAAAGTCTATTTTATCAGAGATGAGAATTGCAAATCCTGCTTTCTTTTGCTCTCCATTTGCTTGGTTAATCTTCCTCCATCCCTTTATTTTGAGCCTTTGTGTATCCTTGTATGTGAGATGGGTTTCCTGGATACAGCACACTGATGGGTTTTGGATTTTTTTCCTATTTGCCAGTCTGTGTCTTTTGATTGGTGCATTTAGTCCATTTACATTTAGGGTTAATATTGTTATGTGTGAATTTGATACTGCCATTTTGATGCTAGCTGGCTATTTTGCCCGTTAGTTGTTGTAGATTCTTCATTGTGTTGATGCTCTTTAGCATTTAGTGTGATTTTGGAATTGCTGGTACTGGTTGTTCCTCTCTATGTGTAGTGCCTCTTTTAGGAGCTCTTGTAAAGCAGGCCTGGTGGTGACAAAATCTCTGAGTACTTGCTTGTTCACAAAGGATTTTATTTTTCCTTCACTTATGCAGCTCACTTTGGCTGGATATGAAATTCTGGGTTGAAAGTTCTTTTCTTTAAGGATGTTGAATATTGGCCCCCACTCTCTTCTGGCTTGTAATGTTTCTGCCGAGAGATCTGCTGTGAGTCTGATAGGCTTCCTTTTGTGGGTGACCCGACCTTTCTCTCTGGCTGCCCTTAGTATTTTCTCCTTTATTTCAACCTTGTTGAATCTGACGATCATGTGCCTTGGGGTTGCTCTTCTTGCCGAATATCTTTGTGGTGTTCTCTGTATTTCCTGCATTTGAGTGTTGGCCTGTCTTGCTAGGTGGGGGAAATTTTCCTGGATAATGTCCTGAAGGGTATTTTCCAGCTTGGATTCATTCTCTTCGTCCCCTTCTGGTACACCTATCAAACATAGGTTAGGTCTCTTCACATAGTCCCAGATTTCTTGGAGGCTTTGTTCCTTCCTTTTTGCGCTTTTTTCTCTGATCTTGGTTTCTCGTTTTATTTCATTGAGTTGATCTTCGACTTCTGATATTCTTTCTTTTGCTTGGTCAATTCGGCTATTGAAACTTGTGCATGCTTTGCGAAGTTCTCGTATTGTGTTTTTCAGCTCCTTTAATTCATTCATATTCCTCTCTAAGTTATCCATTCTTGTTATCATTTCCTCGAATCTTTTTCATATCTTTTTTCAAGATTCTTAGTTTTTTGCATTGATTTAAAACATGTTCTTTTAGCTCACAAAAGTTTCTCATTATCCACCTTCTGAAGTCTAATTCCGTCATTTTGTCACAGTCATTCTTTGTCCAGCTTTGTTCCCTTGCTGGTGAGGAGTTTTGGTCCTTTCTAGGAGGCGAGATGTTCTGGTTTTGGGTGTTTTCCTCCTTTTTGCGCTGGTTTCTTCCCATCTTTGTGGATTTATCCACCTGTCGTCTGTGTAGTTGCTGACTTTTCGATTGGGTCTCTGAGTGGACACCCAGATTGTTGATGATGAAGTATTTCTGTTACTTGGTTTTCCTTCTACCAGTCTAGCCCCTTCACTGTACGACTGCTGAGGTCCACTCTAGGCCCTGCTTGTCTGGGGTGCACCTATAGCAGCTGCGGAACAGTGAGGGATGCTACCAGTTTCTTTTTCTGCTATCTTTGTCCCAGAATGATGCCTGCCAAATGTCAGTCTTTTGGATATAGAGGGGTCAGGGAGCTGCTTGAGGAGACAGTCTGTACTTTATAGGAGCTCAATTGCTGAGCTCTGTTGTTCATTCAGGGCTGTTAGGCTGCTATGTTTAATTCTGCTGCAACAGAACTCATTAAAAAAACCCTTTTTTTCTCAGATGCTCTGTCTGGGGGAGTTGGGGCTTTATTTTTGAGTGTCCGTTGTGCTATCTTGCCCAGCTAGGAGGAAGTCTAGTCACTATTTGCCTGCCGAGGCTCTGCCCTGCTGGTGTGAGGTTCACCCTGTTGCTGCAGGCTCTGCCTTTCTGCTTTGGTCTCTGCCCTGCTGCCACAGGCTATGCCCTGTGGCAGAGTCTCTCTGTTGTATGGGGTTGCCTCAGCAATGGCAGGCTGCGTCAGCAATGGGCGTGTACCTCAGTAGGGGCGGGTTGCCTCAGTAATGGCGGACCCCGTCCCCCACGGAGCTGCACTCTCAGGGAACCTCTCCACCGGGAGTGTTTGGAATCGCCGTTTTGTTTGTTGCACTGCGCTACCCCAAACGTTGTGTCCCTGGAATTTCCTGGGCTGGCTCACTGTCCAAGTCCCGTTCAGTCTCAAGTTCAGCCCTCTCAAGTCTCAGGTTGCCGGTTCAGCAGGGCATCCAGACCAGTGCGCTTTGTGCAGAGCGCTGTGTAGCGCCGCTGCCCTAACGGTGCGGGCCGCCGCCGCACCAGCTGCCGGCTACACCAGCCAAAATCTCTGCCTGGCGTCCCGCATCTCTTTTATACCTGGGAATTTCCCTGTTCTGTGGGCAACAAAAATCCGTCTGGAAATGCAGCCCTGACTCACCCTCTCCGCGCATGCACCGAGAGCTTCAATCCTGGGTTGTTCTCACAGCGCCATCTTGAGTCCTCCTGAAATAAAACTTTTTAAAGATGAAGGTGAAGAATTGTTATATGTTAAAGCGTAATCATCCCTTAATACAGGGTCTTTAAGAGAATTGCATACTTTCCATGATACTTTTCATATTTTAAAAGTAATTGATCTCTTTTTTAAAAAAAAGTAGAATTAAATCTAGAGACATAATTTTGCTTTTCCTTTAGTTTTAGTAAAGAATTTTAACCAGTTCATGTACTGTTCCTTTGGATGGGGGTTTATTGTGTTTCCCAATTCTTCCTGTGTCCTGTGCCATTTCCTTCCAGGTTTGGATTTAAGGACAGGCACATACATGCCATGGCATGAACTAGGTCCCGGTCGACCAGTGTGCTGGGCTTGTTTGTTGTATTGGCTAATCAATATAGTGGGAGGCCTCAGCTCTGCAGATGAATATGGCCTTGGGCAGGGGTCATCACTGCTGAATATGACTGATGAGTCCCTGCTGGAGGAAGCAGCATAACTGAATAGGAAGCTCATGCGATTGAATTTTTAAAGGACATGAGTCAGAACCTAGAGGGTCAGCTTTAGACATAGCATAGAAATAGCTTATTTTCCACGACTCATCTCCGCACTGGGTTTTTGTGGGGTTTTTTTGGGGTAAAGGTCCAGATAGTAAATATTTTAGGTTCTGTGGCCCAAGAGGCAAAATTGAATATATTATGTAGTTTCTTATATAATGACCACTTGAAAGTGTGAAAACCATTCAAAGCTCAAGGCTATGTAAAACCAGGGATGGGCTGGATTTGGCCCGCCTACTCTAGAGAAGTAGTTTCCAAACTATTTTGATTATAGATCCTTTCAGTAAAATTTTGATCACACTCCACAGATTTTTAATTTTTTAATTGTAATTTTTATTAATAAACCATAGTACTGATATGAATTTATATAAATAATTGAAATGTTAATAAATGAGATAAAAATATAGAGATAAATTGTAATATTTTCTTCTTATATCCCAGTGGGTCATTTATTGCTCTGGAATAGTGTTTTTCTTTCTTTCTTATTTTTTTTGAGATGGCGTTTTGCTCTTGTTACCCAGGCTGGAGTGCAATGGCACGATCTCGGCTCACCGCAACCTCCCCCTCCTGGGTTCAGGCAATCCTCCTGCCTCATCCTCCTGAGTAGCTGGGATTACAGGCACGCACCACCATGCCCAGCTAATTTTTTGTATTTTTTAGTAGAGACAGGGTTTCACCATGTTGACCAGGATGGTCTGGATCGCTTGACCTTGTGATCCACCCGCCTCGGCCTCCCAAAGTGCTGGAATTACAGGCGTGAGCCACTGCGCCTGGCCTGGAATAGTGGTTTTTACTAGGGATGCTTAATAAAAATTAATAATCCTGGGTCCTGGCCTTTAGATCTATTGAATCAGAATCTCTGGAGTTTGAACCCAGGACTACATATTACCAAACTTTCCTGTTAATTTCTCTGCTCTCTAAAATTTGAGAATCACTGGTCTAGATCCAGATGGAACAGAAGAATTATCTGCTGCTCTAGTTTGAGTCTTTGAGACTCTAACTAAATATTAGATACCTCTCCCACCAAATGTTTAAAATGTTCTATTAAAAATGTTATTTTTAAAAATCATAGGTTTTCTAACTTCTTTTTGTTTTGAGACAACAGTTTGCTCTGTTGCTCAGGCTGGAGTTCAGTGGTGCGATCTAAGCTCACTGCAACCTCCGCCTCCCGGGTTTGAGCAATTCTCCTGCCTCAGCCTCCTGAGCTAGGATTACAGGCACACAACACCATGCCCAGCTAGTTTTTTGTATTTTTAGTAGAGATAGGGTTTTGCCATGTTGGCCACGCTGGCCTCAAACTCCTGACCTCAGTGATCTGCCTGCCTTGGCCTCCCATCGTGCTGGGATTACAGGTGTGGGCCACCGTGCCCAGCCCCTAGGGGTTCTACTTCTCAAAAAGGATGTTAGATAACAGAGAATGGAAGACCGTTATACCTTGGGCCATTGAAGTAAAACAACAAAGAAAAAAGAGTTATAACCTAGAAGTACACCCTAAAACATTTGCTGAAGATAATTGTTATATTGAAAAAAAATTTTCTCTCTGAACTTCCCAGCACACAACACAAAAGGGAAGCACCATGAATTGCATAATTTTTTTTGGCTAATAAAAGAATATACAAGAGATAACTTTTCTTAACCTTCAGTAATTAATTAAATATATTTATTTAAAAGCACTAAAATCTTACTAGTCAATACTTTAGCAGTGGTTTACAAAAGATGCTTAAATTATTTTCACATTGGTCTTTGAAGCAGGTAGAGGTCATAATATTATTTAAAAATCTGCAGACATTTCTATACTCTTTTTAATATTGTCTCTGTGTGCTTTCTCTGCTTGAAATGAACTGAGCATTTTGCTGTTTTTAAGGGTGAACCGGGCATTATGGGCCCCTTTGGAATGCCTGGAACATCAATTCCTGGACCACCTGGGCCAAAGGTATATATTCTTGGGAATTATTTTATTTTTCTTGACCCTTTGGCAGTTGGAGAAAAAAAATCATAGTATCGGTGAACTAGAATTTTAGTTTTGAAAAAGTCTTAGAAATAATTCAGTTCAACTCTGAAACTTCACAGGTAAGCAAACTATAGCCAGCAGCAGAGTTAGGACAAAATCCAGATTTTGTGCTCCTAGTCCCAAGCTTGTCACTTTACCCTTCTTTACCTTTTCCAAATCCTAAACCCCAATGCAGGTAAGAATTTAGTACATTTATTCAGAAGAATCCACTGGGATTTATAATTGAAGAGTCTAGCAGAAGAGATATCCACTCAAGTTTGTTGGTTGGTTGGTTTTTTGAGACAGAGTCTCACTCTGTCCCCAGGCTGGAGGGCAGTGGTGTGATCTTGGCTCACTGCAGCCTCCCCTTCTGAGCTCAAGTGATTCTCCTGCCTCAGCCACCCAAGTAGCTGGGATTACAGGTGTGCCACCATACCTGAATAATTTTTGTAGTTTTAGTAGAGTCAGGATTTCGCCATGTTGGCCAGGCTGGTCTCAAACTCCTGGATTCAAGTGATCCACCTGCCTTGGCTTCCCAAAGTGTTTGATTCATAGGTGTAAGCCACTGCACCTGGCCTTCACTGACACCTGTCAGTAAAGACTATTACTGCTGTTAGGAGAAAGTCCATTGAAATAATATGTGGCAATTCAGACTCAAATATTTAAACTTTAGGTAAGAATGACCATTCCTGAAGTCTAAATATTTGAGTCTGAATTGCCACATATTATTTCAATGGACTTTCTCCTAACAGCAGTAATAGTCTTTACTGACAGGTGTTATTTACTTAGGATTTGAAATTCCCCTCAAATATGTTTGAAGAATATACTTTCTCAAGGTCAGAGATGGACAGATTAAGCTCTTTACAGAGTGGCCAATGCTCTTTTTTTGCTATGTGTCACATGGTTTATTGCACAACTGTAGCCTGTGAAATGTCATTTGAAATGTACAGGGAGAGAGAGGAGGACCTGGGATGCCTGGATTTAAAGGAGAACCTGGACTTTCTATTCGAGGACCAAAGGTATGCTTTATTCATGTTTTTTTTGTTTTTCTGTATTTGAAATAAAAAAAGGTTGATTTAATGCATAAGTTGATTTTTCTACTTGCAAAGTCTCTACATTGATGAACTAAAATGTAAGAATATAGCTATTACCTTTTATTAAAAAAAATAAGCAATCACATCGTTATTTTTCATACATGTGGGAAAAGTAGCTCTTATGGTTAAATTTTTGCTTATTAGATAATTGTTTGAAAATGCTCTTTTGCACTGTCTGTGATACAAGGAATTAAATGGCCTCTGGCTTCTTCATTTACATGTTAATGCCTAAAGTATCCATTCTGCAAAACATTGTCCAAAAAATCATCTGTGTTTGGAAGCTTTGTTGAATAAAATTTTCCTGCTTTGATTATTCATCCTTTGGAGTTATTTCAAAGGGAAATACAAATAATTAAGAAGAAACCATGTTTCTGTAATCATATGTGGTTTTTCATGGCAACAAAGCACCATTTTCCTTCTCACACTATACCCAGCATCACAGCAAAATTTAGCGTTTATAACATTCCTGGGTATCATCCAGCAGATCTGTTTATGAAGACAGGCTTCAGGGCCCCATAATTAGCACTTTTTAAATCAATAACATGTTGTTATATAGCTTTGAAGCTTGCTTATATGCTCCCATATTAAGTTGTCTCATCTAGATAAAAGGGTTCAAGTACTAAATTGATGACTTTCAAAGTTAAAAGAAGAAAACATGGAGTCATCTTTTAAATAAAATATGATGCAAAACCTGTTATGTAAAACTGACATAAATTGGAGTGGTTCTTATTAAAAGTAAAGGAGAATCTTGAGTCTCCCTGTTCCTCTGGCTTTAACAGTCAGTCCTCCCTGCTAGAGTCACAGCCTCCCTAGTTTGCCCAGGATTGAAGGGGTTCCTGGAATGCATGACTTTAAGGGCCAAAACTGGGAAAATCTTGGGCAAACTTGGACAAATTGTTCATCTGCTTCCCCCAGATCCCAAGGTAGCCCAAACTATGTAGACCAGTCTCTTTAGAAACACAAGCTATATAGACAACTCAAGGAGACAAGAGCAAATTTTCTAGTGTGAAAACTACAGATATGACCTTGATCAATTACTTCTGCATGACAATTTTAATAAATTGATAGCTGTGAAGTCATAATTCATGACTTATACATCTCTCTCTCTACTTCTATTTGCAGTAGGAATACAATTCAATTAAATGTGCTGTCAGAGTTTATAGGCCCCACCTGTTTCCTGCTGATGATTATTAGGTATCATAGGTGATGGTATTTAAAGATATTTACCTCTTCATCCAAGCATTTTGCTACTCCCTTGGACTCTAATGATACTCTTTCTGTCATTCTTCCCTAGTTCATTAGTTTTTCAGTTTTTGGAGAGTCATATTCACCTTTGAATGTCTGGTGGAAGTTTTAGCACATTAATTTCATTTTGTGTAATACTTCAGTGGTCTCCCAGACACCCCCTAAAGCTGATTTCAAAATACTGGGTTTCTATTTCTGCCCTAATTTCTATCGAATGAGAGAAATACTTTGAAGTAAATCACTTTGTAGGACATTTCCTTGAATCCAGTGCAGAAAAACGAAGTGGCAGAATTCCATCTATAAAAATACTGTAAGGAAGCCAAAATAAATATCTGTGCCTCCTCTTGCTCCTTGATATTTCCTATTAATAACAGAAGTTAGAAGCTACCTGAAATTTTTGCAGAAGCAAGGACAAAGATCTCTAGAAAAAGGATGTTTATAAACTGTGAGTGTTTTAATGGTTTTTCCCTCCACTGTGGTGTCAGATGTTAAACAAGAGCAGCTGCTGATAATTTGTTGTAAGTTTGGGCCATATAAATAAAAACTGAAAAGTAAATTTTGATTCCAATTTTCTTTTCCTTTTAACTCAACCAGGGAGCAATTACTGCTTTATTTTATCGATGGGCTCTCCTTGTGTAAACATGGAGATAAGTGGAAAACTTATTTTGGGACAAATTTCATATATGTATGTTTAGAGCTTTAACCTTAAATGTGGTTGGAATAGTATAAACAATTGGTTCTGAGAAGTGGCCAGTTTCTTGTAGTTGGAATTCACCAATATTTACCTGTCCTGAAGACCATGGGCTTCCTTTCTCTCATTCAACTTTAAAACATCACCTTGAGCTTTTGTTGATGGTGAATAGTACATTAAATTTTTATAAGTGGCCACATGTTTCCTAAAGATGATCATTCTTAGGAAGGTTAACCACATAAAAACAGCCTTTCAGTTTAATAGGAAAAAAACAGCTGTTGCATGCATGGTTTTTAAAATAAAGTTTCTGATTGCTTAAAAAGTATGTAAATTTTTTCCCATTTCCAATCAATTATTCATTTATTGGAGTAGAGTTGAGAATAGGTTTTGGAAGTTGGACTTTGGGCAGTGTTTTCACTTGGAATAAGGGCAGTTTGATCTCCAAGTTTGCTGGCATGTAAGTTCTTAAGAGTCCTGCTACTTTCTTTCTCCATTCTTGGAAAACAAAGATCTGCCTGTTAAAGTTTCCTACCAATATAAAGAAAAACCATAAATATTTAAAAACATGAGCAGCTCTTTATCAAAATCAGGGCTGATATTGACAAGGGCTGTTGCAAGAGTTATCAACCAATAACAGATCAGCGGAATGTGTTGTAAAATGAAGTATAAGTTTTGAATATAAGTGTAATGGACTTGTAGGTAATCTTCTAAAAGATTCTTCTTAATTTTTTTTCCTCCCCTCATTTTACTTTTGTCAGAAATTTTTCTGATTTCTGTTTGTGAGAGAGTTATAAGTCCTAGAAAACTCTGTCATCCAAAGGACAATAATCACCCCTTCCTGCTCTTTCTGTAGGAGACTAAGGGCTGCTACTAAAAGTTTTGAATGCCTAAGGTCATCACTGTAAAACAATATTTACAACTTTTTCCTAGCTCTCAAGATATGAATCACAAACCCTATCCCTTCAAAACTTGTTTTTTAAAAATTAATGTGTTTTTATTTTCATCTGGCTTTACTTATTCCCAATATAATTCGGGCCCCATTAATGAAGACAATAGATTTAATGCAACAATGGGAAACTCTAGTTATTCCACACTCAAAATTTTGCTATGTATTATTTTCTATTCATCTCACATTGTGCTTACTAAATTTTCTTTTTTATACTTCTCCTTGATTTACAATGCACTAAAAATTTATTGTTTAAAAAATGAAAATATTAGCAATAAGTCATTTTCTAAGTCCTGGGTTATAAATCTACCATTGGCATATTGAGTTGGTGTTACGCTTAAGTTTAACCAGGTGTTTTATCATTGAGTCTCATGATTTCACTGATGTTGGAATTTACCCAGGGTGTTCAAGGCCCTCAGGGACCAGTAGGTGCTCCAGGACTCAAAGGTGATGGCTATCCTGGTGTGCCTGTAAGTGGGACATTTTTTTCTTCACTTCCTCCCTTCCTTTTGAGTGTTGCATATAACAAGGATGCTCACTCGCTCCCTTACTATGTCATCTCAGGGACCTCGAGGATCACCAGGACCCCCTGGGCCGATGGGTTTACGTGGAGTGGGAGACACTGGAGCAAAGGTAAGATTTTCAAGTAGGCAACATACTAGCTTCCAAGAGTGTGCCTATAGGTAGGTGATTTTGGTAAAGATGAAATATTTTATCAGATAGAAAAGTAGAGGTGTCTGGAATAATTGATAAAGTTATTTGTCCTTATCTATGGACTTCTGGGGAACGAATCTGAACATGTAGACTAACTTTATGGTTTGCCTCCTCCTTCTCTGATAGCAACTCACACTCCTTTGCTGCTTCCTCTTCTTATATCAACATCAGGGTTCAAGTCAGAGTCCTCCTCTCTCCTCTAGCCATACTCTTTCCCTAGGTACTCTCGTCCAGCCCCATGGCTTTAATCACTGTCCACACATTGAGGGCTTCCAAATACCTATATTTTCTCCCTTAAGATCTGGTCTCAGGTATCTAGTTTCTTACCATGTATCCCTTCTTGGGCTTCTCAAAAACAACTCTAATTTAACATCCAAAATAAAATCCCTGATTTTTGCCCTGTAACCCTGCAAATGGCTCTCCCATGCTCAAGCCAGAAGGACTAAGTATCATCCTTGGTCTCTTCCTTTCCCTCTCCTTCCTCCATGCCTAGTCCTTTGGTAAGTCCTATCAATGCTACTGTCAAAATATCTCTCAGCTCTGGCTCCTTTTCTCCTTCTGCTTCTGCTAAGCGGACCATGTCATCTCTTACCTGGGCTGTAAAAATAGCCTCTTCACGGTTCTTCCCTCTGTCCCACCTCTGTCCTCCTATAACTTGGTAGCAAGAGTGGTCTTTTAAAACCATCAATCAGACCATATACCATTCCTTCCTAGAAACACCTTGGTGGCTTCTCTTTGTACTCAGAGCAGACTTTGAATACTTCCCATGGCCCTGAACACCCTTCATGCCCCAACTGCAACTTCTGTCATTTCTCCCCTGGGGCAGGGTTTTTGCCTTGTTTCCTCCTAACTTCATGTCACCAGAAGTAGGTTACCATTCAATGGAAGCTCTATAACCTGTTGAATGAATGGAAAATGAATAAATGATCAATATTACCCTAAAGGAAAAATTTTTGCTTTGAAATATGTCTGCTTAGTTTTTTTAATGTTTCCAGGTCACTAGCGAGAAAAGATGTTATGTGTGCTAATGCCAACCTCTTCTCTTGGTTTTTGCCCCTGCCACAAAACTTAGAAGTGCCTCTTTGCTCTCTCCCAGGTAGAATAAAAGATTGGAGACACAAGGCACTAAATATCATATTTAAGGGGAAATCTTGATACCTGCCCATCTCTGTTTCTAGGGGTGATGATGAAAATCCAGTAATAATATATCTGGAAGTGCTGTGTCCACTGTACAGAGAGGATGAACCCAAGGTGCTCTGATAAAGGATCTGGCTTAGTCTGACTCAGGACTACATCAGATCCTTGAATAAGGCTCAGCAGTATCAGTAAACTGCACCGAATTTGGGTACTGATGTATTCCTTTTTCTTTAAGGCATAGCAGCTGTCAAAATGCTAAAATTTAAAAAAAAGAAAGATAAATTCAATAGGTAGCCCTCATTATTTTCTGCTCTGACGCGAAGGTAAGAACTTGTATACTGAATATTTCTTTAGTTAGGGAGGTAGAAGCTTATTTCTATTTAAAATAAGACATGAAATGAAGTATATTAAATATATACTGGAATGTGTATATTCCAATGGAAACATGATCATTTACATTTTCACAGAGTAGATTTTTTATGTAAGTAGACATGATGTTATATTAAATTATACAATTATGTTACTGCTTTACATTGAGCAAGAATAATAAAGACAGGCACTTAGGCACAGATAAAGAACATTAAAAAATTAGCTGGTTATGGTGGCTCTTGCCTGTAATCCCAGCACTTTGGGAGGCTGAGGTGGGAAGATTACCTGAGGTCAGGAGTTTGAGACCAGCCAACATGGTAAAACCCCATCTCTACTAAAAATAAAAAGATTAGGCAGGCATGCTGGTGCACACCTGTAATCCCAGCTACTCGGGAGGCTGAGGCAGGAGAATTGCTTGAATCCAGAAGATGGAAGTTGCAGTGAGCTGAGATCATGCCATTGCACTCCAGCCTGGGCAACAGAGCAAGACTCCATTAAAAAAAATTAAAAACCCAATTCTTGTGGATATTTCACTCTGTCAGATTATTCAAGATACAGACTAAAACATTTACTAAATGATGTCATATGCCATTTTCCTCCAAAAGTCCCTTGTTATGCCTTCATCTACATTTTAGGGGGAAAAAGGTAAGAAATAAGGTGTTCAAAACTTCATCTTGCCTGTTGTTTTTGGAAATAGCTAATATGCTGCCAGAAGATGTATCTGAAGTGAAACTCTCATTGTCTGTGGAGCCCACATAGGAGGCTGAGTGGAAGCAGAAGTCCACAGTTTGCTTCCAGCTGTGGGCAGAACTCAAGCAAAAAAGCAATAGCTAGGACCTACCTGTCTGCCCGCCTCCCTCTCAGCTGCTTTTCCTTCCTTCCATTGCCTCTTGTCTCTTCCCATGGAAACTGTGTTTTTCAGAATTTCTCTAGCCCTGGAAGGAGATGTTAGGAGAGTGAGCTGGTCTTAGAATCAAGGGAACTTGGGTCATAAACTTGAAAATAAAGTCTAAAAGTAAATGCCAGCTTTTAAATAACTTTAAAAATAATCTCTCCCTTTTTTTACAGAGGCTTCAGCATCTCAATGTGGCCTTTTTTTCTGAAGAAAATTTTTGGAAACATACACACACACAAATATCACAGAGCACTAAGGGTAGAGGGAGGCAGAGAGAGAGAGAGAGAGAGAGAGATATTCATAGACAGAAACTGGCAAAGAAAGGAAGATAATTCCAGTTAACTTTGCCCTTCTGGCTTGGCAAAGTGGAGGGGATATTCTGAAAATAGCAAAAATTGTCCATGGCAACAGAAACACAGGACTGAAATGTGTGCAAAATTTCGACCCTTTTGAGTTAAAATGACAGAGAAACTGTGTGTGTGTGTGTGTGTGTGTGTGTGTGTGTGTGTGTGTGTGGTAGTATAGCCATATGGATCCTGATATGTTTTTCATTTAAGCTTTGTGTAGTCACCTTAAAATTGTGGCCTTAAGGCATTAACTTACAAAACAAATGTGTTTTGAAATAAGGAAACCATTAAGGTTGACAATGAATTTATGGTGGGTTTTTGTGCTGTTTAGTTAAGGTCACATGTGTTTAGCATATGACACAGATGTTAAACTCAAAGCTTCTGTGTTTCAAAACGTATAAAAAGCAGTCCCTCACATCTAGCACCCTTGTGGTTCTCCATGGCTTTTTTCCAAATAGAAAAATTCACTACCATATCTGTGGGTATCGTCCTTCTAGATACAGTTACCTTTAATTTAAGTCAAATTTGGCAACACTTTCTGAGAGATTTCAAAAATTCCGATAAAAGCTACAACTTTGAAGGAGAGAGTAGATATAGTTTTTAAACTCACCTTTGAAACATGCTGGGAAGAGGAACTGATAATTCGGTTTCTTGCTAAGTGGGAAGTGTTCATCCAGTGTCCTCATTCCTGAATCCAGTCTCCTGGCTTATTGATGGGGAAGCCAAGCTCCAAGACCCTACCCATCACTGCCTGCTTTTCTTCACTGGAGCCTTAGATATTAAGAGAACTTCTTATAATTTGAGGACAAACATGCCATACATCTCATTTCTCTTTGAGAAGCTGCAGATAACTCTGCTCCTGTGTTTTTACCCCCAAAGCTTCATAAGGTACATGTAGCCCAAGGGCTGATTTCCTGATGTCCCTGAGTATAAGAGTTTATTTCTGGCCTCATAGAAAAGGAATATAACTCTCCTGAGTTCTCTAAGGGCAGGTGCAGTCTGCCACGCCTCTCTCTTAGCTTTTTTTGGGCCCCCTCAGGAAGCTGGATCATCACAAGGAAAGCTATGACCGTCTCCAAAGCCTTGGAGTGTTTGAACTTAGGCTGATCTTTGCACAGAGGAGATCTGGATTTGGGTTTAGGACCTCTTAACCATCAAGTTGTTGGCATAAATCTGTGGACAGAAAAGACTTGTTGGATTGTTGTTGTTGTTATTACAGGTATAATTACTCTTATTATTATAATGATTATGTATTACCTAAGTTTTTCAAGAATATTATGACATTTTTTAACAGTCCCCCTGTTTTATAGATGAAGAAATGAAGGACCAGACAAGTTGAACAACTTGCCTCTTTACAATGTGCACATTTTTGATGCTATATTTGTTTTTTATATGAGAGGGGCTATAGATATGGATGAATGAATGAAAAACTAAATGGTTGAATCAATCAGAGCAGAAAGCGTGACTTCCCTGATCCACAGATGTCCAATCTCCTATGCTGTCCATCTTCTATCTAGGCAGTTTTGTGTGCAGTTGGATTGTTCCTCTTTTCTATTGTCAAAACTTAAATTACATAAATAGTAAAGAGAAGCATAAGCCTAAAACCCAAAGAGTTAAATAATTTTCAGTAACTTTACATGTTTGTGTATTGTAAATACATGCTTTATTTGACAAAAGTGGCCCATAGTAATAAAATGCAAGTCTATGTAGAATTCCACTGAGTATCATTATTCAAAAATGTTCCCAGCATGTGAATTGCCCCTCTGTTCTGTGCAATGGTTCACATATGTACACTCCACCAACAGGCACTGGTGGAACAGAGGACTGATTCACGTAGAGATACATTAGGAATGTGTGGATTCCATTGGCAGACATAGACTGGACAAGGAACTCCATTTTGAACAGTGTCCAACAAGGAGGGCTAGCCTAGGATGCAGACTTAATAATGAAGTTAAGCGCCCATAATTCCAAAGTATACTTGAAGAAAGCCACCTCCCTGTAACATGACTACAAAATTGCTTCAGGCTGAAGAATCAGCCCGAAACAGAACTAATTAAAGCCAGAGCCATACAAAGTTTAGATGCCAGGCAGTTTGAACCAGAGGTTTCATAAAGAGTCATATCCAAGACCAGAAAAAGGTGACTTTTCAAGGTTACTCCCCAATGCAGTTC